TGGAAAGCAATATGGCGATTCCTTAGAAAGTTGGAATTGGAGATACCATTTGACCCAGCAATCCCATTACTAGGTATATATCCTAGAGAGGTGAGAGCCAGGATAGGAACAGATACATGCATGCTCATGTTCATCACAGCACTATTTACAATAGGAAAAAGATGGAAACAATCTATGTGCCCATCAGCAGAAGAGTGCGTAACCAAACTATGGTACATACACATACTGGAATGCTATGAAGCACTAAAGAATAATGTAGAGTCTGCATAATATGGATGAACTTGGAGGACATTATGCTGAGTGACATAAATCAGTCATAGAAGGACAAATGTAGTATTAGTTCGTTGTTGTGGAGGGTCAAGTAAAGGTTTATATATGGAAGGAAGCTTTCTTTGTTGGTTGTCAGGGGTTGGAGGGGAGGAGAGGGAACACTGCAAAAAAAAAATGCATTGACCCACGCCACTTTACTTTTATGTTTTTCACTGTACATAAATTATATTTCAATAAAATGCATTTAAAAAAAAAAAGAAAGTCCCAAGGTTGGCAGAGCATGGCAGGCTGCTGAACAACGACACAGCTACATGCAGGATTCAAGCATGCCATGAGCTAGAGACCATTCGCAAAGCTATTTCGTATATACGGGAAGCAGACCACATACCCAAAGCAGCTACTCAGCTGCTCCAATAGATTCCACCATGGAGGTAATTACCAATCGCACCATGGGAATAACTCCATTCAGCTGCCCAGCTACTCAACCAGGCCCAGCCAAGTTGACACACAAACTTAACCACCCCATTCAGTATGTCATTTTATACTAGTTACTGTCAAGTCAATTCCAACCCATGGCAACCCCATGTGTTTTAGAGTAAAACTAAACATAGGGTTTTCAATGGCTATGACTTTTGGGGAGTAGATCATCATGCCTTTCTTTTGAGGAGCCTCTGGATGGATTGGAACCACCAATCCTTTCGGTTAGTATCTGAGCACTTAACAGTGTACACCACCCCAGGATCTCAAGTCATTGTATGGGATCCTTTCATTCAATATTTTTGAAGACATACACTGTGCCAAGCACTATGCTAGATGTCTAGAGATCAATATATTGTTTAAAAATATTTTATTTAACTTTAAATTCCATTGACACTGATATTTTCCTTTCTTCTTTAATCAACTAAACAAATTGATCACTTTGCTAGTGTGTAGAAATAATTTTGACTTCCTTAGTCATTGTTACGAATGAAATTCCCAGCTCAAAATGCAATGAAATTTTGGAAATACACACACACACACACACATACATATATCCAACACACACCATGGGCTGCTAGAAGAATGAACAAATCTGTCCCGGAAGAAGTCCAACCAGAATGTTTCTCAGAAGCGAGGATGGAGAGACTCTGTCTCGTGTACATTGGACACGTTATCAGGAGGGACCAGTCCCTAAAGAAGGACATCGTGCTTGGTAAAGACAGTGGAAAAGAGGAA